CATCGGCAGGGCCTCCCAAGTTGAGAAGAAGTCCGGCGTTTCTACCAGGAAGCCTAGTTAAGGGTAAACCAATACCAAGGTCCACCACCGTCTTGGTATTAAACAAGTCGCATGGTGGCAAATTTCCATCTGATCCACAAAGGGCGGCGACTACCTGTAGTGCTGACGACGGCCTATGGTAGACTTTGGTCGAGCTGACCTCGGGACTCCAAGAAGCCACAATGGCTAAACCAGCAAAACCCCGAAAATAGAGGTTATGCTGGAGTCCACGTAACTAGGGAGGACGGGCCTTCCAGGTGTCCAAGTGAAGTCTAACAATAATTACTTCTTTGAAGTGAAATAGCAAACGTTACCCTCCATGCATCTTTCTGTCTATCAGATCAGTTTTTTCAAGAGTTTAAAACCGTCCTGATTTTCTTTCTACTGTGGCTTATGAATAGTTCATCATTCATTTCATCATTGTAACAAATTCATTAACATTGTAGATTCACACCATTAGTGACAATGATGGTGTAAATTAGGAAACCTCCATCAGTCTTTGCAGTCAATCATTTCACTGCTGGAATTCATAAACAAATCATTTATGATATGATGCTCACAGTTATTTCAGTTAAAACGGTAGTTTGGAGACTGTTTAAAAATGGTGGAAAAGAACAATAAATATCGTCTTCTTATTTGTTTACTGTCATCTGTAGCACCTTTATCACGTTTCATTCCAACAATCATTGGGTATATCTAACGACCTCCACTAAGCATCGTTCCCCTCCAGTATCTACCAAGGCTGCTCAACAGACTCCGTTCCCTCAAAGGAAGCGAAGTGCACCACTGTTTTAGGATGATGCTTTCCATTACCTGTGTTTCTTAGTTTCATGACAATAAACTCTATTCACGAGATCAATATTTTTCTAACAGGCCGTTATTTAGTCTTGATAGTGATAAACAATACTATTTTGGATTGCTATGCTTAACGAAGTTGGAGAAGATCTTTATTGGGCTAACAATTCGTCGTGATCCGACTCGGTATGACGGCCAACCACCTCGAGAGGACGAACAACTGTGAATCACTGACACTGAGCATCGACTCTGATGTGGAAAACAGGTCGAAATGCTTGCCGAACGAACATTTTTATCAACCTCATGCTAGCTTAACAATCGAAGAAGTTATTCACAAGAACCACATCACACTTTGTATGGGATAGGTTTAGTTTAGTTGAGCTTTTGGATAGAAACGTCAGACTATTTGTTAGCTTGGATTACCTTAATTAATACATGAACTCAGCTCTACCATTACCACTCAACTTCCCCACAAAGAATGATGAGATGGGGAATTGTTTGGAAAGGGAAGAGGAGAGATGAACTTATAAAGAATATAGATGACAATTACTTTCTTCATTTTCTAGTTGTTCTAGTTTAGAATGTAAAACTATTTCGTTCAGATCTACTATAAAGTGAAACTCACATGGAAATGCTATACGAGCACAGTAGTCGATTTTCTCGCAAAACTGAATATTACGAGATTTTGTTGGAATTTCAGTACGTATTGATGTTTTTTTAAGATTCCATCTGAAATCAGTGCATTTCGTGAAATTTTCGAGTTTTCCGGGAAGTTTGCAAAGGTGAGATTCTAGGTATTGAGTAACTGACCAAAAACATTTGCAGAAGAGAGGCTTCAGATATAAATTGATTTGGAATTAAGATAACGCTCTTAAGTAATTTTACCCTCACAGCTTCCGAACTTTGGGTTAGTGAAAGAGCAATGTCGTTTCTGTCGCTGTGAAAATTTTGAATGCGTCTAAGAAGAGTTTTTACTCTGTTGTGATGATGCATACAACTAGAAGCTTATTCTTTGTTCAGTAGTTAGCAATGTAATACTTTTCGTGAAACCTTAGGTTCAATAACCACAGCTAGTTTAAATCATGGTCTCAATGTGGCATCAATATTCTTAGTGAGTTCAAACTTGTAAATGCAATAGCAACGGCCAACAGAAATGTTTTCAAAGCACTGGCTAGGGATAGGCTTCTGAACCCGTAGAACGCAAGTAATTTCAATGATTCGTACTGAAAGCATGATAGTTTCATGAAGGAATAAATGGCGAGCTCCTAACAGCAACTGGCGATAACCGCCTGAAGCCGATGGTCAAAACTGTCAGCCCAAAAACTAATAAATTGGTTGGAAAAAAGCTCAGAGTTGACGATTTAACAATCGATTATTTTAGCACTTATGCGTGTTACTTCGCACACCGCCGTACTCCGGACCACATTTAACAATCGTTTGTCATTTGAACAGCTTTCAAAAGGTAAAAATGTTTAAACAATAATTGTCCCATGAAATGAGCGCAAATCATCGTTGTCAAGATGTTCGCTTTCTGCTTCATTACTGCAAGAAAAACGGTTCAGTTCTCAATCGAACTATGGTGTACGGTGATAAATGGATGCTCTGAGGCAGAAAACGACGTTCAGTGTGGGAATTTACATGAAACGAGACTCCCAAACCTTTTTGGAATTCCAAAGGTGCCGCTGAGAACGATTGTGATGAATTTATGTAAAGTTTTTCCTATTTAGTAGATGAAATTCTACAATAGGATGTATTGATTGCTGGTTAAGTGACAAAAAAAAGAAATCGCTATCACGAATTTAGTAAACTTGAAATTTGCCATTCGTTTATTAGGAATTTGTTAACAGAATTGCTAATTCTTCCCTCACGATAAAGCCCTATCAAAACTTATGCAACTAATGTTGTGCTAAAAAGTTCATGCAGTTGATGATAGAAAGTCGATATGAGATTGCCTGCGAAACCTTTCCTCTCTAGTTATACTTCTCAAGCTTCCCGCTAACTATTAGGTTGGTACGTATAAAATGTCCGATGTTATTGCTTTTATTTTCCGTGCCATTCTTTTAGATAAAAATTCCGTTCTTTATATATGTTTCATAAATATTCTTGAAGCGTAAAGTCTGGTCGTTCTACACCTAGTATTGGTTTTTTTTCAAGCTTTACTATTTCAGGATTTTTATAGTCTCTAACTTTAGTATGAACCAATGTGATATTCGCGTGCTCTTTTCGTAACTGTAAAGGAGTGGACATAATGACACGACAGGAGCTTGGAATAAGAATAAGTTTAGACGGGTGATTGCTGATGGCAAAAAAGATCGATAGAAGTAGCTGAGATACACGCAAAGCGAAGGACCCGGATGGTGCAGTGGTGAAGTGCGCTGCTCCCCGGTAAGGACAACAGCGCGTGTTCGTTCTCCACTGCATACACCTGTGGTCCGGAGTTTTGCAAATATCTCAGCATTTCATACGAGTTATATTTCGCAATATAACCTGCCATTAAGAAGAGAAAGGCAGTAAATAAAAGAGTTAAGAGTGCGAACATTGTTCCTGAAGTACCGATCTGGTGATTTCGACCTCGAAGATAAGGCCGCGAACGTCGCAGTGAATTTCACAACTACGAATTGGAAGTACTAGTGGGACAAGCACGCGAACAACTGTTCGAGGGCCTGCAGAACAGCTTGGCGTATGCATAGGAATAATGTCCACTCACTCGCATTGCGTAAGAAAGACGAAAAAGCTCGACAAATGGGTGCCGCGCGAATTAAGGGATAATAAAAAAAATCGCCATTCTGAAGTATTGTCTGTTCTTATTCTGCGCAGCAAAAACGGCCCTTTTCTTGATCGAATTGTGAGGCGCGACGAGAAGTGGATTCTGTACGACAACCGGCAACGTTCGGTTCAGTGGCTGCACTGCACTCAGGCTTCCTAACACTTCTCAAAGCCGAAATTGCACCAAAAGAGGTTATGGTGACTGTTTGGTGGTCTAGAACCGAGCAGATTCATCACAGTTTTTTGAATTCCGGCGAAATGATTACGGCAGAGAAGCACCCCCAACAACTCGACGAAATGCATCGGAAACGCCAATAACAACAAGCGGCATTAGTCGACAGAAAAGGACCAATCTTTCTCCACAACAACGCCCGGCCTCACGTTCCTGAACCAGCGCTGCTAAAGTTGAAAGAGTTGGGCTACGAAGCTTTACCTCATTCACCATATTCATCACCCTCTTGCTCACCGACTATCACTTCTTCAAGCACTTTAACCACCTCCAGCGCGAGAAATGCTTCACTAACCGCGATAACGCAAAAAATGTTTTAACAAATTCATCGCTTTTAGATGACTAGAATTTTATTCAACTAAAATAAATTTGATTCTTATTGTAAAAAATGTGCTGATCATAATGGTGTTTATTTCGATTCATGAAATTCAGTATGAAAAAGTTATGATTATCTAAAGTTTACATTTAAAATCGGGCATTTCATATGTTACAACCTAATAATTATCTCATTTATAAGCACCTCGACAACTGCTGGCTTGGAAAATCTTCTAAACCATCCGTTGTCAAAAATGCTTGCAATGAGTTTGTCACCTTCAGATCTCTAGAATCGCAGGATACCAGAATAAAGATGATCATGTCTTATTGGCAAAAAATGCATAGAGTCAATGGCTTTTGTTTTCATTGATAAAACTGTGTATAAGCTGAGTTATTGTACTTCAAAGTTGTCGGCCAAATGCGGCCATTATTTCGAAACCAATTCATACGCGAATAACAATTAATAAATGAATGAAGGTTTCGCATACCTCTACAACCTTGCTAGATGGGTTTGCTTAATGGGTTTAGGTTGCGGAATAATTTGCATTAACTCGGAATGACGATGGGATCTTTTTTCCAGTCGTCTCCCGCAGACTCCGTGTTACGCTTTTTCAAAGCTGATGCGCAAATTTTTTCAAAGAACTAGAAAAAAAAACAAAAAAAATATTTTAGTTTTGGCCGTTTTGGTGGAGCTATAAATTATTTGCGTTCATTCTGAACATAAACTTATTCAAGTCTATGCTTCCAGTCAATCCAATGGGCCCTTGATTGGGTACAGCTAGTTATGTTTTTAACAAATTTATGAAATTTGAAACAAGTGTTGGTGTTCTAAGTGCGATTTAGATATTTTTTGTTCTTAACAAAATATTAGAGAACTGAAAAAATGAAAGAGAAACCTTCTTCCTATGCTTTGACGACTAAATGCAGTAGATGGTCGTCCTTCATTTCTCGTCATGTAGCCAATCGTTGCCAGTTCAACGAGTGAAGCGAACACGAATGAAATTCCACTGTAAAAACTTCGTTTTGATTTGCAGTTTTCTATCAAGCAGCTAAACTAAGAACTCGACCAATGGAACGAACTTTAAGTGCTTTAAGAATATATAAGAAACTTATGAGCATAACATAACATAACATTATTAGCCACGATCGCATTGAATGGTGTTAGCTTCAGAACTTGGGACAATTCTGTTCAGAACGCTTAGCAATGACAAACATCACTGTTTAAAAGACTGATTTTGTTGAACGAAGATCATCAAGGTGATCTAATTGATAGCCGGAAGAACTACAATTATTTTAGCAAATAAATTGAGGTGTTTCAACAATCGGTCAATTTGCCGCTTACCTGAGCATCCATACATCAATCGCCTTCACATATGACACTCTTGGCAAATTTCGTATTATATTTCCAAACTGGAAAGTCATCGCTAGTAATGCATTCACTCCAATCATTGTTCTAGCTGGAATTGCTTTTGGGCCGAGATAAAATGGAATCCATGATATAAAAACGGTCATATACGTTGGAATATAACCTGTAATTCACTTTATTCCTTTTTCGATTGGATTCCTTTTTCCTCTTAACTGCTACTTTTCTCGCCAGTTGCCGAAAAAACCTATTTGCTTATTCGACTTGCTCAAATGAATTCTCTTTGGAATACTAGATGTCATCACTGTCACTTACGACTACTGGCCCGTCGTAGTTTATAAAAAAATCAAAAAGAGGAAAGAAAAGGGAAATGCATTAATTATAATATCATGTTCATGCACAGTGTTGTCAACGTCTATAACCGTTCGCTGGAAGTTCAAGCCTATCAATTAACGTCTTGGTATTTCAGACCCTTAAACTGCTGCTTTAATTTTAAAAAAAAATTTTACCCTGAAGTAAATACCATCCATAACGCCTTCGGAATACGAATTTGACGGTGAGCTCATTCCAATAGCCAGCGGCATAAAGCTGAAAAATTGAATTACACGTGAGACGTTGTAGAGTGACTGACACCATAGTAGTATTAGGCTTTGAAGCACTCATACTATTATCAAGTCGAGAAGTGAAAGAAATGACGAAGAAGCAAAAGACGTATGGGAGAAATGACGCAAACACGGACGGTTAGATTGTCTGATGTACTATAGTTCACCATAGAAAAATCCGGTAATTCGATATCTTTGAACTGAATCAGAGGTGAATCGCTCCATCTCATATGGACTTCTTCCTGAAATGAAATTGCTATTATTGTTTGCCTTCACCTTCATCTGTGTTACATTAGTGATATTAAGTAATTTAAGAAGCAATTCGAAACGAACGTTGTTATAGTTGAAGGACTCGAACGTTAATATGCATTCAATCGTATCCATTGGGAACTTTGACAAATCCATTTTACAAGGACCCGTACTTTTAATTCGCCAATTGGACCATATGGAGCCTTAAAAGTAGCAAAATGAAAAGAACACTTAATGTGTGTATCAATTACTTTTCATCCTTTCATGCACACTTGTTTGAAAGGAAAAGACTTTCTCGTCGTCAAAATGATTCATTAAAACATTTTTAAAATATGATCTTATACTAGATTTGTAAAGAGTTATTGCAGCGAAAAAGTAATTGGCGCTGACCTCACATCAGTAAGGGAATGAAAAGTAGCTTAAAACACGTGACAGTCGATTGAACGTTCCCTTACACCGCAACCACTTTTCACACAACTTCAAAGAACTTTCTTCAACTCTGCTTCATAGAGTTCGTTTACACTTTTGAGATGTTACATTTTGGTACTGAGAGGAAACTCCTCAAATAGGTCTTATGCTTACGCAATCCATTATCTTCATTGGATTTGTTGAAGCAAAAGAGAAAGAAATCGAGGAATCACATTCAATTTAGCGATATATATATATACATATATATATATATATATATATATATATATATATATATATATGGTCAGATAACGTCGTGTTAGTCATTGATCTAGTAGTCGTTGTGCCACGCATCCCTAGTGGGTTCCATTTCTTCGACAGATACAAAAAGCGTCTTCTTTTTACCAAGGATCAACGCGAAGTGGTCTTGATACATGGTTAGCAGTCTTTATATTCCATTCTTTTCATACAAATTACCTGTCAACGGCTTCTGACCAGCTCATATTATTTCGGGGTGTTGGCACCTTCTCGTCTAGGGCTTCTTTTTCTAACTTAGGTTTCGTTAAAGTGTTGATGTCATTCATCGAGCTGAATCCTTTCATAAACTTTGCTCGCTCGAGTGCACGTTGTTTAATATTCTGTCAAGACTTGAAGAATGAGTCAACTGAAAAAGTTATAGACAACAGATAGTTGTCAAGTTTGGTGATAGTTGCTGATGCTGTTTTGGTCTCCTTCTGAGAAATAACACATGATAAATGAAGCTAGTTTTTGAGAGAGCAGTGGTGGTGACCTTTCCAGATATTTGGGTGTAATCCTATTGAATCAGGTGCAGCAAAATTCTCTACCGAGTTTGAAAGCTGGGCCAAGAAAAAAACCTGCTTGCAAAGCTCATGCCTTCTCTATGTAATAAATGTGAAGACTAATCGATGTGAAATCATGCGTCATGATGAGTTATAAGAGTGCGTCTCTTGGTTCGCTTATGTTCGCAAGGTTTATCTTAAACTGAAGGCGACGACGTAAAGGATAAAATACAAAGCGTTAGGTGTTGATCAGACTCTGAGGGATGTGCAATATATTGGTCCTCATGAAGCACGGTAGAGGTGATTAAAAGCATACTTGGTTGATACAGTGACTTACAGTTGCTTACCGATGTATTGTTTAAGTTTGCTTATTTTTCCAGCTAAGTCTGGCACCAATTTCATGGCCCAGGAGGGAGACAGGAGGGATTTGGTGAGCTTTGGCCAAGAATCGAAGCAGTGAGCGATCCACTTACATTGCAGGGGCCATCTCTCCACTGCGTTAGGTGAGCCAAATTCAGTTCCATTTAGTTCCGTGTATTCCGAATTTAATGTAGAAGAAGTCATCTAACCTCTTACAGTTTTGAAGAATGGCTCGTGATCGTTTTCATCATAGCACAACAGACGAAGATTGTCAAAGCTGCTCTTAGTCCGTATCTGTTCAACAGTAAACCTCCGATTTGGATAGGCAATTGTTGAAAATCGTCTATTATCCGTGTTAACGAGAGCAATACAAACTCACTAGTTCCACCAACACTGTCTTTTAAAAAACATAGTTCTTATCCGGTATTTTAAACAGCATAAAATGGGTCGTGTCTTTTATTCTCCGCTACTCCGATGTCACAATACACAACTGACTTGACTTCAATTTTCAGATCGCAGAGTGCGGTGGGAGAGCAGAGTGAAGGGAAAGATGATCTTTGTTCTTTATTTTGTTTTTCTTGTTAAAAGTGTTCAAAAATAGCTCACGGTGCCTGCCCTATGTTTTAGATGTGGAGTTTATTTGTTGGAAGCTCTCAACGTGAAGTAGCAGAACTAGTTCCTACTTTATCTCATAACCTTAACGATTTCACCATTGAAACCCGTGTTATTGAAGTTTTATAAATTTTACTTGTTTGTTTCTTCATTCTAATTCACCCTCACATAAATGAATGGATGGAGGCTGTCCTACAAATATCTGAGCGTAACAAATTTTTGATTCAGTGAAAACACAAAAGATGACGTGCTTGATCCAAGTTTCTTTGTTAACAAGTTCCTCATAACATTTTCTTCTGAGGTCACTCAACATGCAGAGATATGTTGGTTAAGTTATAAATCGATGGCGCAAATTGCGTTAAACGTGCAGCTGGAGTGATTCGGAAGATTGTCCGTCCACATCTTACATAAAGTGAATCGAATGACGTTAAATGCAATTTCAAGACATTTTCGTCAACGAAGACTATCGTTGTCATCACCGAAACGAGTCAAGTTAAAAGTCATTGAAAATCGTCTTAAAAACTAACTGCTTCATCAACTGATACTGGTTGAATAACGTAGCGGATAGCTATAAAAATGATTACTCAAGTAGCTCTGATGCAAGAGGCTGACTAGCAATTCTTGTTGTCAACGGTGTAAATTGGAATACTGGTCGTTTATTCTAAATTCACTTATAACTTCTTCTGTCAGAATCTTACGTTATGACAGTGTGGAAGACAAGGATGGTGTTCATGACTATTTAAGCGTTTCCCTATTTCATGATTTTTATAAAAATTGTTTCACTATATGACATTTGTAAGTCGATCTCTTTTAATCTGACTTTGAAGATAAGTGGAAAAGTTAATGACCATGGATGAAAATGCCTATATTCTACATATAATCTGTTATTATTCAATAAGGCAAAGAAAAACTCACCGTTTGGAAACACCATGAGAAAGACATTTCGAAATGGTGAGCTGTGAATTTGTGCTTTTTTCGAATTAACAAAACATGTATTTGGAGTCCAAATATTTTGAAGTACGGTCCAATCAAATGATAGATTTCCTTGGCATGGATTCAGAATCGTGTAAGCCAGACCTGGATCGGTCCAGTATTCGTTCATGTATAGGTCTGAAATGGAAATTCTTGAACAATCACCGTAATCAACCAGTACGTTCACAAATTCCATTTCCATCATGTCTGGTATGGCCTTGCTGGTCTGCATACTGCAGAGCAAAGATGTTTTTATGCGAACACCTATGATTCTTCCAGATGAAGAGCCACGGCACAAGTGTGTGAATTGACTACATTTCTACGTTATTCAAACCGTCGTTATGGTCCTTATCGGTTACCACTCATTGTAGAATTACGAAAATCTCATTAGATACCAGCGTGAATTTGAACTTCTTATTTTCATTCCGCCTGTTGAACGTCGTTTTTCTCCTTTCCGAAAGGTTACAATAACACAACCAGCAGCAAAATAACATAGAGAAAAGACAAAGTCTTTAGTGATTCATTACGAAGGTCACTTTCATTAACATTTCAGTGGTACCAATACTATCGCGTAAAGCGATTCTTAAGGTAGAGATCTCAAAAAATCATTCGCATTGTTCACGTTCCTCTCATAAATCGATGGCCGATCTGACGCTGTTGGAGCTAATGGAATTGTCTTCGTGCTCTCCCAAAGGAGCTTTTCATCGCTGCTTTTCTAAGCACGTTCAACGAAACTTTTCTATATGACACCGAAACAAAATGAATTGATCGAAAAGGACCTCTGTAGAATGTGATTTATGACACGAATGCGCTTGAAAGACAAAATATGTATTTATCCTATAAGAACATGTAATTGATATGTTCGGTGCAAAAGAATAAAAATGAGGAAAAGAATTTGAGCGGGACTGATCACGGCTGAATCGAAAATTCGGAATGAATGGGCTAAAATCCGCTCGACGACATGAACATATACCTCACATTGGTGTCTGGATGACCTTGTCTACGGTTGTATCTAAATTGAAGACCAAAATATGATGAGCATATAGATTTTCTTAGACAATATTTTTTGACTCAAAAAATAACATTGCCAAACGGAATAAATACTTCACTGCTATGGAATTTCGTAATAATCGAGCAAATTCGAGAGGATTTATTCACAAGAAAATCATTGCCGCGACTATTTTGGAAGCTTTATGGAGTAGTGGTGAATGGACAAGGAAGTGAAAAACGATCTATAAACTGAGTCTGACATAAGTTGCCTAGGAAAAATGAGAAATGACCTTCAGTTGAATGTCATTTGAAGCTGTCAGCACTCTGTCTATCACATTGTTAAGCTAATATGTAAGTGTAACTATATTTACAGCGTAAAAATTATGCAGATGGATCAATAACGCGATTTGTTTCCTAAAAAACGGCATGACTTTCAGTGCATGCCTGCTCTACTGAAAATAACCCTTCTCCAAGCAAGTATTGTATATATTGCTATTATTTTTGTTTGCATTTTGCCCATTGCTTAAATCAAAATTCCTATGGCAATCGATGAAGAGAGTTTCCGTGTGAGTTGAAAAGTGTCAAATCGTGAAGAAGAGAAAAAGAAACAGATATGAGAGTAACGTTACCGATTTCAAAATCCTGCGTAAGTTCGGAGACGGATGTTACTTCCTGTACCCACATTTCAATGCGAACATCGACCGGATTTGATGGTAATTTGTGCTTATTATAGTGTAAAGCGATATCGAACAATAAATGATCAATGATTTCTGTATCATTAGCACATCGCTGTGGTGTATTGTATGGATATGTACTGGATGAGCAATATAAGTGTTGAATACGAACTAGAAAAATTAGTAACAGTAGTAGCCGCATTAGAAATGAAACACTTGTCACCTCATTCGTCGGATAGCGCTCGTTCCCTGAAAATTACTACAAGAGGTCTTTCGTCTTTTCCATCATGATTAAAACTGATAATTAGTAAAACGTCAAGATGGACTTTCTCATTTGTGTTCTAGATCTAATTTGCTCTCAACGAAATCAACTTAAGCACCAGAGTTTCAATATAGAGACGTCGGTTAATGAGCACAAACTTTTTATTTGAAAAATTAAGCAAATGAACGGATCCACTGAGCAAGCAACGAAATTCACTAGACGATCCCGGACGGATGCTACGTCTGAATCCACTCGTTAAGCAGCCGCCATCAATATTCCACCACGCCCCATCCAAGTTCTGCGACACCGACATTACTTCCGAAAATAAGAAGGAGTTCACAAACCTTTAGCTGAAGTTATGTAGCTATTGCATTAAAATTTTGTTTATTCCAACAAGTAGTTCACTGAAGAGAGAAAGACAAATGTAAGTGAAAGAATACCGTGAGTACGTTAAGCTTCTCTATAAAGTGTAACTATCCAGTACCACAAATATTATTCCCAAATGCAAAATTAGATGAAAATTTGTGTTTTGATTACTATAATGCTGAGATATTGGCAAAACTCTGGACCGCAGGTGCCTGCGGTGGGAAACGAACGAGCTACTGTCCTTTCCGTGGAGTAACGCGTTCACCACCACACCATGCGGGTCCTTCGTTTCGCCTGTCTTTCAGCTAGTTCTATGGGCAGTAAATAAAAAAGTTAGGATTGTGATTATAACCTCAGCTTAACTGGGTTCAACGCCGATTTTGGCTCCGCAGATCAATCCCGTTGATGGGTGAATTCTGATGGCAAAATATCGATAGAACTAGCTGAGAGAAAGGCGAAACGGATGGCCCGCATGGTGTGGTGGTGAACGCGTTACTCCCCGGGAAGGACACGTTCGTTCCCCACCGCAGACACCTGCGGTCCAGAGTTTTGCAAATATCTGAGCATTATAGTAGTTATATTTCGCAAAATACGCTGCCGTTAAAAAGAATGGGCAGTAAGTAAAAAGGCTAAGATTTTCGTTTTATTTCTAGAAAATCCAGTTAAGAAAATTTCCTCAAAGCGACACAGTGCCCAGGTGAAGAATTTCGGTGGAATAATCGCTTACTGTTATCGATTTGACTGTACCAGACGGTTTTCGAAAAGGTAGCTGTCAAGAATAAAGCCATCCTAGAAAAACTGTTGATACGTATTAAGCAACCTTTCTCCAAAAGATTTTTTTACTGGATAAAAATGTGATGAATTCAACACTCTCTAGGTGACTTCGCATGAGCTTTGACTGATCGGTTAGAATTTTGCTAGAAAACGCACTCTAGTCCCACTTTTTTGAAGAAGAAATAAAGCTTTTTCTCCTTTAAAAAATTCCTTTCCACCAACTGACTAATGATGGTCTTGCTTTTTTTTATATTGCGTTACTGAAGAATTTCCAAAAGTGGTAGACTCGTTTCTATCTCAGTACTTCAACCTTCTCCGTAAGATAATGCTGTATTCTCGAGCAGTATATGCCACTGAGTTTTCAGTTCCTGAATTAAATATGGATACTGGAAGAGTCGTGATTAGATTGCCGCCAAAAGCCACGCATACTGTCTCTGGTTCAAACCCACCTCTAAAACTTCGGATTAGGCAAATTTGTGCCACTCTTTCCTAGAAAAGGTTGTTTTTGATACATAGAGGGTGATAAATGCCTTTGAAGGTCTGCTGACTCTCTAAGTAGAGTAACCCTAGGGCCCCAAAGAAAATTAACTCAAGCAGCATTCAACGAGATTCATGAACAAGACGAAGTGCTAACAGTCGAACCGACTCCGTTCCCGAGACTTTCGTGGATGACAGGTGGAAGGAAACGAAACGAAGTAAGAAAATGTTAGGATTTACATCACATGATGTGACAGGTCACACAAAGTAAAGAATTTGAACTTCAAAGTGTATTCAGAGGAGTGATTTGAGGTATTTCACAATGAGCACGTTATTGATTCGATTCTGGAACAAGTCATGTTACCTTTTCATTATGGATATATAAATTGGTTCCAAACTTACTTGGCAAGATAAAAACGCAGAATTGATACATCGACAGACTTCACAAGTAATGATATAATTGAACTTACTCAGTTCTATGGCACCTAGTAGGAATGGAATGCACAGTGGGCACACAAAAGTTCACAACACAAAGCGTGTGTTGTTTTTTAAGGCATATTTCAATCACCAAGGGAGTACATTGGAGACAAGTCTTAACAAATACCCTTCTCATCACTCTGAAAAAGTATAATAAGCAAGGCATTAGTTCACCTAGTGCTTAATCAAATAGTCCCTCTCAACGGTTTACCGCCTCATCGTGGCTAGAAGATGTTCCTGGATGTCGAACTGCGATGTACAGCGAGGTGATTCATCCTCCTGGTAGTCTTCCAATATGAGGAGTCCAGAGTTTCCATCAGAAGGTCAAGCTAAGAGTAAACCAATACTCCAATACCAGGAACGACCACTATCCTGGTATCAAAGTCGCATGGTAGCAAATCTCGCTTTGATCCACAAGGTCGGTGACTGCCTATGTCGGTGACGCCTGCTGCAGAATTTGGCTAGGCTAACCATGGGACTCCAGGGAAACGCAATGGCTGGGCCAGCAAAACTTCGAAAAGCGGAAACTGGCTGGGGCTCGCGCAACCAATGATGAGGGCCTGTACAAGAATCCAAAGAAGTTGGTGAAATAACTTCTCAGCCTACCTGCCTGTTCGCACCATTTGTTTGCAAATAATCAAAAAAGCTTCCTAAACAAAAACTATAATGCTCTTCATTTCCTTCGGACAGCAAAACTCATCGAGCAGCTAAAAACAATAGAAAGCAAACAGTCGTATTCACTTTTGGCTTCGGCTGTTGTCCAAAGATCTGAAAGTTAGAAAAAAATATGCGTGGTCAATGCATCGGCCCATCTACTTGGTGGTATCCTTCGAGATCGATTTGATGCTCTTGGGATCTACCTCCTTGTTCTTTTCGTCCCATTCAGATTATGCTGTGACCGATCCACTGATATCTATTTCACAAAACGTACTCTTCTAGGTTTCAAATAGGGGTGATAGCTCAATTGTCGTAACTGCAAGAACCGGTTTCGTGTTGAGTGCGCCAGTTCACCTTCAGAAGGAATGGCTCAGGTACCTTATCCACGACGCCTCCTCATTATGACTTAAGTATCATTCCATACATCTGCTGTATAGCATAAAGTTGGTGGCGTTGTCGTGCTCGTAGTCTGTCTCGTAGGTCTGGATCAGTAGGATAACCAGTGGCTTCTACTAGATGCCTGAGTGAAACTTATGTTTGTGACTGTTTTTCTTCTCTCAAATCGTTATTCATATTTACTGAACGTTTTAAATATACTCAACGTGTGGTCTCCTAAACTTATGACTCATTTGGAATAATTTGCGGCGATTTAAATTAGGCGTTCCTCATGAACCGGGCCTTTTTTCGGATTGCCTCGTGTTCCGATATCCTTCCGTTTCGTTGGCTTATTAAGCACTGTTTCCGCTTGTGCTACTTCTATATAAGGAAGTAATCTTTTATCACCTTTTCCATGGTGAGATTTTAAAGTTCTACTAATACCATACTAATGAAAATGCATTACTCATACGTATTCTGCCTTGTAGCTTGTGGAATAACTCCTTGGGAAAAGATGAAAGCTTCCTAAAATGGATAGAATTGTCCTAGCTTTCGATGTATAAGGGTTTTTAACAGCGATTTGTGAAGTTAGTGCATTTTTCACAAAAAGAGTTGGAGAAATTGCAAATATTTACTGATCAGCAACTATAATTAGGTCGTTTTCGACTTCTTCTGCCTTCCTGAGCGAGAACTACTTGTTATGCAAGCAACAGATTCAGTTCGAGTTTTACTCGCTTCTCCAATAGAGAACATGAAGTTTTCCATATTAGCACAAGCAGCCCCATAAGTGCCATTTGAGTTTACTCCAACAACTGCACCTGAACTTAGCACAATATGGAGTTACAGAACTTTGGAGAAAGTTTTATAGCGATCGATAATACCTTGAAATTTAGGGTAGTAATCAAGTATGCGTTTGATAGCTTTGTGAGTTGCCTTGTAGGGCTTTGTACCAAGGCGCATTTGTTCAACAACAAAGAAGCTAAAAAACATAATAATGTTGACCATAAACGATGAACTAGGGAATTAAGCAAATAGACACAGTGAATGTACCTAGGCATGAAACGGATCATCACATCGCCATCTCCAGTTGCAGCAGCTCCACCTACACCGTCAACCGCGTAGGCACCAGCTCCGGGAATTGGCGAGTCTCCAACACGACCAGGAATCTACAGAAAAAAGAATGTGAAGTGGCTTAAAAGTTAGGGCAAAAACTCTATACTATTTATACATATTTTCCTCAAGAAATGTGCATATTCTTTCACCAAGCGGCTGTGAAAAATAAAGATATAGGAATAAGTTCCTAGTTTTTCGATGTTTTTCTTCAATAAGCAGACGCGAGGTTGCTCTTATAGAATTTATTAGGATACAACAGTTGCTGTTTCGGCGGTTTCGCCTTCTTCAGAGCCTGCAAAGGTTTAATTGAGATGCGATCTACCCAGCCAAACACTTTCATAACCCTAGCAGATAAAACCTAACAAATAAATTTGTATTCGCATAAGAAACAGCTTCATTTAAACACTTACCGTTTATTTGTTGTAAGTATTTAACATAGTTGGTGGATAGCAGCCCCACAGAGTAATACATGGGCGAGGACTGTGCCTTCGTCAGGATTAGCCTGAGGTATGGCGCCAGGTCACGCGTGATGACAAGACGCTCCTCCTTACGGTTCATTTTTGAATTTTTGGAATTGATCCGAACGCTTCAAGAGTTTTACGCGCCGATGTTTTCGATTCGTGCGTGAGGATCTACTCCTACTTCAAAATCTTCTCCATTGTGTTCCTGCATCCTACGCGCGCCTGATGGAGTGTTTGGTTTTAATTTAGATATACCGACTAGGTGTTTTTTAATGCGGACGTAGAGCCGTCTACCCGTTTTGCAAACGTATTCGTCCCCGCACGCTCTACAAGAGATCAACTTTAATCAGCCACTGGGTAATGCGACATGCATTCGATTTCAACAAGGGCTGGTTAACGTAGCGTGCGGGATCGAACTAATGATTGCGTTTGCCTCACAGGTCGATCTCTAACCACTACGGTATACGCGCGCTTAGAAATCTGCAGTGCTGAAACCAAAAAACTATATTCCAGCAATGAAAAATGTACTGTAGTAAACTTTAGCAGATGCCATGAAAACCGAAGCTTATAAACATCAATAAAACATGGAAGAATTTTCTCTTAGTAAATCGATCATTCAAAATTAAAAATAGAAAGGTAAAGCTAGTGGCGTTGATCATTCTACGAGGGATGTTCCATGAATTCGGCTTCATTAAGAATCGTAAGAGGCGATCGAAGGTATATTTGGCTTTTACAATGACTCGCGATGGCCTACCGATGTATCGAGCCACTGCTGATATATTCCCAGACAAGTCTGGTACTAATTTGCCGATCCCGGAGAGATGGAAGGCTTGGTGGGCTACGGGCCCGGAGATTGATTCCACGTGTGTGTTGCAGGGTGTCTTCGACCACTGCGCCACACGTGCTCCCATTAAAAAATAGTGCGTGAAATACACTCAATAGTACAAACAGCTGCAAATCTATGGTATGAAGTAGGCATCTAGTATGGTGTAAGAAAAATTGCTGAAGAAATTGGAGAAAACACGGTGCTAAAAAAGGTAGAAATATATTTCCAAAACTGCACGAGCAGATGTGTCGAGTGAAGAGCGGCTTTATGATGTTTTAATGACATTGGCAGATGAGATAGCTTTCTCCTGATTTCCCATTTCAATATTTATCCTATAAATTCCAATATTCTCATTGGGACAGTCAGAATGGAATACGAAACAGCTGTTTCATTAATAATTAGGTAATGTTTTTTCTCTAATTCTCATACGGATCTTTTGTTTATTCTGGAAATGATATAAAACTTAACTTGAAACGCGCTCCATTCGAGGATGTTCCAGCACAAATACTTCCGGCACTGTCCACCACAACCATTCCTATTGTATCATGATGAAATCTATAACGATGAACCCAACCGTTACTATATAAAAATTTACAAACGAAACCGTTACTATCCACACTTTGTCACCTGTCTATCGATGTAACATAGCTGTTTGACGATGAATGACTGTGATTTTTTGGGTGATAAGGGCCACACGTTTTAGTCGGATCAGGCACCACATTCTTCAAATATGAAATTATGCTCTACTAAATCCGTGTCTATAGAATAATCATATAGCGCAAACCCTCCAGAAATTCGGCTGACAACTGTTGTTCCGCCATTCTAAGAACATATTATGAGAAAATGTAGTAGAGAGGTTTTCTTCCTTGAAACCCATTCGAAGAGCAAACTTAGTGACTGAAAAATACAGCGTATCTAATAGGGCTAATATTTACTCAGAATTGTGTTTGCACACTAACTCTTCTATTATCACACACAGTGATTGCAGCAGTTACGGCAGTTTTATAATCGACAGTTAACCAACTCTAACGGTTATGCAGAGACTCATACGTCACGTGTTTGTCATATTCTCTACGTTGTGAGCGATATTCTCTCCATTCTCATAACTTCATACATTTGTTATATTACTTATACTGTGTTCCATGCCCACAGATCTCCCTCATATGAGGGATCTGGAATCGGTTAGTCGTGAAGCCACGTGGCGCATCCCCAGGTGGCGGATAGGAGGGTCGAGGACCAAAAGCGACCATTGCTTTCCTAAGCAGGTGGATTCAGGAGATTGACTCCCTGTTCCTGCTGCGCTGAACTGGCACATACTTTCTGCATTTGCTAGGTGTTTTCATGCATGCGTGTGGGGGTGCGTTCTTGCTTATGCAGATTGTATTCTACGAGTCAATTCGGCCAAAAGCCTGCAGTCAAGTGACTGGAAAGCATATGGGAGGGGGTTAGGAGTCGTCTCCAACGAATAAACTCCATGTCCACTCCGGAAGAGACTGGCAAGCTACCCGCGAGTATACCCAGCCCCCACGTTCAGAGCCCAGCAAGCTATACGTCGGTATTCAAAAAGCTAAGCACAGTAAAATAAACGGGCCTCATTCCCTTGACACCGAAAGAGCCCCCAATTTCGAGCGTTGGGTAGGGCGAGTATGGAGAAGCTTCTAAAATCTCAGAGCCAATGGAACCTGCCTGGATCGCGAAGAATTAAGGTGACGATCTTTACCTACAATGCACGTACACTTGCATTCGAGTCCTCAATAGAAGACTTTCTCATGGAAGCATGAAGAATGAGATACGACGTCATCGACCTGGCTGAGACGAGAAGACGCCAGTCTTTCAACGCCGTCAAAGACACCGGAGAAGAACTGTTCCTCGGAACATGCCACAGTAGAAACTGCCACGACCGACTTTCTATTAACCTCGGCATTGATCAAGTGATTTTCTTCGTATTTTTGTTGAGCAAACGCGAGGTGTTACTATTCCCTGTTCACGATTAAGCTGACGTTTCGGCGGATTTCGCCTTCTTCAGAGCCGCTTTCTATGAGGTTTCCACTAAGTATCTAGTGTACCACTAGTATCTAGTACCACTACTTAGTACTACTAAAAACGCCACATTGGAACCCACGGATTGGAATAGAACGAACAGGATGAGCGGCTATCTGAGTTTATCATGGCGAGCAAGACAGTCCATGGTAACTCGCAATTCCAGAAGCCCCATCCTCAGCGCTGGACGTGGGAGTCTTCCAATGGAGAGTGCCATAGCGGAATAGACCACACCATATTAAATAGAAGGTTTTGCCTAACCCATGCTGCTGTATTTTTTGCCGAGGTTAATAGAAAGTCGGTCGTGGCAGTTTTTTTTTCCGAAAGTTTTTTGGAACTTTCAAAGCATTGCAGAGAGACGATGATAGAAGATCTTAGAGAGAGAAGAGCAGCAGTAATGGTCGAAGTCGCAGAGGCTGGGAAAAGCATTCGCAAAGCCCACCGAAGCTTCGCTAATTACAAGACCAAAATGATTGCTCTCCGGTGCCCAGAAGGAACAGTTACAGCGTCCAGAAAGGCAGTGGAGAAAACCATTCACGGATGCTACTCGGATCTCTTCGGTAGCCACGTCTACCTTCCGTCATATGAAATAAAGGAGGATGGATATGTTGTACCACCGATTCTCCCTTCCCAAATCCGTCATGCCATTTCGTCGGTGAAAAATCGAACGGCACCAGGTCAGGACAGGATAGGACCAGAACACCTGAAGAAACTTCCGCCAGTCATCGTAACCACACTGGCTAGGCTCTTCACACGCTACCTGTCTGAACGCAAGGTCCCCACTCAATGGAGGACCAGCAGGACCGTGTTATTGTTCAAGAAGGGTGACCTGCAAGACATCGGCAACTATCGCCCAATCTGCTTACTGTCTGTCGTCTACAGACTTTTCACTCGAGTCATCCAAAACTGGATTGACAGAACACTGGACGAAGGACAGCCATGTGAGCAGGCAGGGTTTCGAAAAGGATTTAGTACGATTGGCCCCCTCCACACGGTAACACTGCTCAATGAAGTATCGCAAGAGTACAAAAGACCGCTCTGTCTCACTTTTATCGATTTACAGAAGGCCTTTGATTCAGTTCAGATGGAAGCAGTCTGGAAAGCGCTTGATAGTCAAGGTGTCCCTACTCAGTACATAAATATTCTTCGTGAGCAGTACAAAAATTTCACAACCAAGATAACACCATTCTACAACGATGTTAACATAAACGTCAAAAGAGGGGTCAGACAAGGCGATACCATCTCGCAAAAATTATTTACCACCACCCTCCACAACGTCATGCGAACATTGGAATGGGATAATATGGGAGTGAAAATTGACGGTCGACAGTCACACCATCTTCGCTTTGCTGATGACATCGTCCTTATAAGACAAACATTATCCAAGGAGAACATATACTTGACGACTTTGATAAAACCTGTGGAAAGATTGGTCTTCGACTAAATCTCACAAAAACGATGTTCATTAGAAGCGGATTAGTTTCACATGCCCCATTCACGCTCAACGGAACGAATATCTCTGAATGCTCCAGTTATATCTTTCTAGGTCAGGAATTCAATATGATGCTCAATATGATTCAATATGAACGACCTAGCTCCAGAGCTAAGCAGAAGAAAACGAGCGGCTTGGAGAGCTTTCAAGAGCATCGAGTATGTAATGAAGAAAACAAAGAACACCTGAATCCGTGCCTACCTTCTCTACCCAACATTACTTCCTGCCCTAACGTATGCGTCAGAAACCTGGTCGCTGCGTAAGCAGGGTGAAAGGTCACTGAACGTTATCGAACGCGCAGTCGGAAGGACGATGCTAGGAGTATCCCGTTCCGCACAAGTAAGGGATGGGATCCGAAGCTCCGATCTGCGTCAACGATCAAAAATCAAAGATGCCGTTCTGTACGTCAAACAGTCGAAGATAAAGTGGGCCGGACACGTAATGCGTATGAATGACAACGGATGGGCAAGAGCCGTTAGTGACTGGATTCCTCAAGATGTCAAGCGTGTTGCTGGAAGACCACCGACCCTATGGCCAGAGTTCTTCACGAAAAGCATAAAAGAAAGAAAAGCTTGACGAGTTCCTAGAGCGAGTAAAACCTACTAGGCTACACTTGGACGCGACAGGGAAAAATGAAAGATTTATTGGCGACTGCATCAGTCCATATCAAGCAAAATTGGCGTCAGTTTACTCTCCTACACCTTGTTCCTCCTAGTTCCTACTTTCGATGAAGCAAATTCCAATCCTTAAAATTTCCTTTCACGCCGACATTGGTTGAATGAGAGGTCTCTCTATCTCTTCAGAATGCACCGCGGACTTATTCTAGAAGCTTCTGTTATCACAGACGCACCTGTTCTCTCTTAGCTCTCTAATTTGTTATGCCCAACTTTTTCTGATGACTTCAGCTTCTTGCTGTTTCACTTCATGACTAGAGTTTCACACATTCGGTGCAAAACTGGTTTTTCGACAAGAGATGATAATTTCCCTCTTCATTGAACATTTCTGGTGTTTAGAACAATTTTATCGGAAAAGCTTTACTCTATACCCGTAATCCATTAGACGTATAATTTTTAACAGCATTTTTTAATTTTAAGTTTGTTTAGAATTGGAACCCCCCGACGGTTTACCGCCCTATCGTGGCTGGCAGGTGTTCCTAAGTGTCGGACCACAATGTGCACCGGGCTTTTCATCCTCTGGTAGGGTCTCTCAAGCTGAGAAGGAGTCCTGCGTTTCGATCAGAAAACATAGCTAAGAGTAAACCAATACCAGGATCCACCACCGTTCTGGTATCAAAGTCGAATGTTGACAAATCTCCCTCCCACAAGGGCTGCGAATGCCTGTGGCGGTGAAGACCTAGGGCAGATTTTGGCCAGGCTGACCTTGGAATTCCAGGGAACTTCAATAGCTTAACGAGAAAAGATAAAAGGATAAAGCCTACGCGATATCGGTAACTATCGCCCAATCTGCTTGCTGTCTGTCGTCTACAAACTTTCCACTCGAGTAATCCTGAGCAGTACTGGCAGAACTCTGGATGAAAAACAGCCACTTGAGTAAGCGGGATTTCGAAAAGGATTTAATACGATGGACCGCATTCACATGACAGCAAGACTCATTGATGCATCGCGAGAGTACAAAAGACCGCTCCGTCTCACTTTCGTCGATTTAAAGAAGGCCTTTAACTCAACTGAGATAGAAGCAGTCATGGAAACCCTTGTTGGTCAAGGAGTCTCTGCTAGGTATATAAAGATTCTTCGTGAGCTATACTAAAATTTTACAACCAAAATATCACCATTCTACAGCGATATTAACATTGACGCCAAAAGAAGAGTTAGGCAAACCGATACCATCTCGCCATAATTATTTACCGTCGTCCTCCAGAACGTTATGCGAACCTTGGAATGGTACAACATGGGACTATCGATGGTCGGCACTTACACCATCTTCGCTTTGCTGATGACATTGCTTTTAGAAGATGCAGTATTAGCCTTGCGGAAAAAATGCTTTCCGACTTAGGTAAGGCCTATGGAAAAACTGATCTTCGACTAAGCCTCAGATAAACGATGTTCGTGAGAAACGGATTAGTTTTGCGTACCCCATTCGTACTCAGTGGAAGGTTACCTCCAAAAGCTCCAGTTACGTCTATCAAGGTTAGAAATCAATACTTTGGACTACTTAGCTCCAGATTGAGCAGGAGGAAGCGAGCGGCATAGGGAGCTAGCATCGAAAGTGTAGCGAAGAGGAAAAAGAGCACCCTACACCGTGCCCACCATTTCGACTGCACGATGCCTCCTACCTTAACGTATGTGTTAGAAACCTGGTCGCTACACTAGCAGGATGAATGATCACTCAGCCTTAGTGAACGCGC